CATTAAATTGTTGGATAAATAAATAAAATAAATAAAAATATATTTTATATATATATACATATATATATATAAACGATTTTGTCATAAGAACTTATAAATAAAAAAAGAGGAATTTCTCTAATTAATCACGGGGTCGTGATGACTAGGTGGTTGTTCTAAATCCTTTTTTTTAAAAAAAAAACATCTCACCATGTTTTAATCCTTTCGTTTTTTTTTTTTTTTTTTTTTTTTTTTTTTTTTTTTAATTTATTTTATGAGAATTATAGCTTAAAGTAAATTTGCGACTTATCACGTGTTTTGTTATTAAGTCGGCTACACATCTTACAAAAGCGTTACAACGTCATAACCATATCTTGACTCTGGCTCTCCTTCGCCAGCTCCAACATTTTCACCACCAACTTCCTCATCTACATTATCAGTATTACTATCATTATATAACGTTATTGAATTATTCTTGTTATTATTTTCATTTCTATTCGTAAAATTAAATAGAAATTTTTTGAAACTCGATTCATTTTTCGTATCATCTGTTATTCCATTGCTATCGTTAACTTTAACCCATTTCTCGGCTAGTTCCGTCCACACGTGTTTCATGATCGGATCAAAGCAGAACACTACAGCATTTAAAGTTCCCTGTGAGCTCGTTCCAACATTTGATGCCATTTGCACTAGAAAATAATTATCTTGTCTGACATAAAGTATTAAAGTCGCGATTATATTAAAAGAAAAACAAATTATGGGTATTGTAGGGTATAAAACTATGCGTTGTACGGCCCGATTGATGAGAAATTGCTGTCTGATCCGCGATTGGGAGAAACGTTTATTGGAGACGGATGACATTAAGTCATTCGAGATGTTTGATTGATGATTCACCGTACGAATTCGATATACGATCAGGAGCACGGATGTTATACAATACCCTATGGAGAGAATGATCCATCCATGTAACGTTGCCCATTGCCATATAACTGAACTTGTCGTATTCCCACGTTTATACCAACAACTAATTTCTTTCTCATCATATCCAAGTGCGTCAAATATAACTGGCAAAATACTCAACGTAAATGATAAAAATAAAGGAATCATAACATAATATTTTTCGAAATGTTTCGTATGCATATAATTATGTACAAAGATTATTTGTAAATTGAATGTCATGGCCACCGTTAAGAAAAGGCTGAGCAACGATGTGAAAACAAATCCCCAAGGTGCCACATGACATACCCAGTCACCAGGTGAAGAAGAATTCACCGTCATAATCTGAATCGAAAAGGAAAATCAAAGAAAAGGAAGATTTTTAATCTAAATATAATCTAAATATAACAAAAAGCATCTCTTTTTAATTTTAATTTTTTTTTTCTTTACCTGAAAAGCTGAAAAAAGCAAATCAGTCAATGAAACATAAGCTTGTAGACGGAACGATACTCTATTTGCCAACGATTTTCTATTGATCCTTAGATACGATATCGTGCAGACTACAAAAAATGCTGAAACCATTGATATGGAATTCAATACTTCATTTGTTATATTGAAAATTAAACTGTTTAATGCTGCATGTTCATCTTTATCTTGATCTTTAACCATTTTAACATAAAAAAAAAGGACGAAGAAAACGTGTATACTATAAATGGTAAATTAAAAGAGCGAAAAGAAATTAAACATTCATATAAATTCACAGAATTTGAATGCTTTGAAATGGATAAGGGTAAAGGGGGGGAAAAAAGGGCGATTAGAAAACGTTATTTAAATAAAAAATTAAATCGTATATGAATGACTAGAGGATCAAAACTTCTTTTGAATATCATAGGACAAAAGAGTAAATGTTCTACAAAGATTACAAAGCATAATTAATCGCTTGCCTAATCATTTTATTTCAACAACCCGACACTTTTCGAGTGTGACAAATCTTTTTTTTTTTTTTTGACTTTCTTTTAATATCACTTTTAAGGTAAGTTTCATCCGAAAATTAATATACCAATAGCATAATTTATTTCAAAAAGAAATTAAAATTAAAATTAAAACGGATTGCTGCCACAAAACTTTTTTTCTCATTTTTATGATTTCTATTCGTTCGCTTCATAGAATTTTCATCCCTTTTTCTTCTTTAATCCAAATTTGTACCATTATTTGAACTTGGTCCGAGCGAATTATTAATCTTTTTTAAAAAAAATTATAATATGGTAACTCGGAATGTTCTTTTAATGAAACTCCCGAATGCATCAATGGTAATATTGTAAAAACAAACTTTTGAAAATTATTACAGTTTATTTGTTGGGATATTCCTGAATTCCTGTTTATCTACATAATTGTATGAAAGAAGGATATTTAATAAAAAGTCTGACGTTTAATTTTATTGGAAAAATCTTTATTTGTGCTTTACGAAATTTAATTATATTTTGAAATGGTAAAAAAAAACTATTCGGTTTTTTTACATAAAGGTGCAATCAGTTTTATGATTATGTAAAGAAATAAATTCATTTTTTTAAAGAAAAATCATCTAAAAAAAAAAAATCTATTATTTAATAAATACATAATTTCTGTCAATTATTAAAATATTATTAACCAATGAATTTTAAAGTAAAATTTTAAATTACTAATATAAATAAAACAATAAAAGAAATTTTACGCGAAATCTGCATCTGAATTTCTTTTTATTTATTATTTGTTTTATTTATTAAATAAATATAGTTCATGAGAATTTTTTTTTAACTAAAATTAAGATCTTATTACACTTTTAATCTAATAAATTCAAAAACTAAAAAAAAAAAAAAATCCCAGAATCTAATTTTCATAGCAACCTTTCTATTATTTATAAATATCTATTTAAAAATCTTTAAATTTAAATTTTAATATATTTATAATATTAAATTATTTTTTAAATTTAAATATAAAAAAATGAATTTTGATAAATAACATTACTAGATCCAATCTAATATATTATATTAATTAAATATAATATCATAGAGATGATTAAAAATGTAATTAGTTTATTATATAAAATTTATAACTAAATTAACAATAAAACTGATAAATAATATAAACTTTAATTCTTTTATATATTTCTAATAACCTATTTTACTTATATTATTTATTAAATATATAATAAATTTAAAATTTATTAATTATGATATATATAGCTAACTTCCTATATAATCACTTCTCTTTTATAATTTGTTATGCTAATATATTAATAACTTATAAAAAATTCTCTTTTATATAATCTTTTTTTTAAAAAAAATTTTGATTCTAAGAATATAATTATATTGAATAATAATATATATTTTATGTTTTTAATAAATATAAAAATTAGATAAAAAGCTTCTAATATAAATAGTTTATTAAAAAAACTTTACTTTCAAATCTTTTAAATACTTTCTAACTCTTAAGAGCATATTACTAATATAAAAAATTAATTGTAATTACTTTATTATTTATAGTTTAGTATTTAGTTAATTATAATAATTTTTTTATAAATTAATTTAAATAAAATATTTTATATATAATCATAAAATATATATATTTTTATTTAAAAAATTATATTTATAGTAATTTAAAAATTATAGAACAGTTAGTCATTTTACAGATTAATAAAAAATCTCAGTAAAATTTGATATAAAATTTTTGAAAAAAAATATTATTGCTACATTTGAATTAGTTTTTTAAATATGTTTCATCTATTAAAATAAATAATTTACTTAAATTTTATCTCTTAATTTATCAGAATATATAGGTAAATTTGCTTGCATAATTTTCAAATTTCACATCTTATTTATTTTTTTAGATTTTTTAAATAATTTGATAAATTTTTTATTTTCATATAGCTTACTTTATAAACTTAAGTTTAAATTATTATTATTTATATTTTTCTATGATTTTAATATTATTATATTATTAATTAAATTTTTATAATTTTTCATTTTTTGAATTTACCTTTAATGATTATTTTAATATTTATCATAGCTATATATATACTACCTTAAAAAAAGTATTCAAGCATCAAAAAATTTATTATTTTTTTTTAAATTTAATAACTTTTAAGGTAGACAATATTGTTTAAAATTTTATTCTTTAAATTTTTATAAATGCATTAAGAAATTTTTTATAAAATAATAAAATACAATCTTTAACTTTAATTAACCTTAAAATATATAAATGCAAATATCTTATAAAATACTCAACTCATTAAGATATTTTTATCAAGATATACTTGATTAAAATTGAATAATTGCTTATTAAAATAATTTAGAAAATATGAAAATTATTGTATTTTGAGGTATTTTTAATTGAAATCAGTTTATTTATTTATAAATACATGATATATATAGTAATTTCAAATGAAATAAAATATATCTAATTAATATATCAAAACATGCACTATATGAAAATATAAATAATAAAATTTTATACTATATAAACTTAAACCACAATTCATAAAAAATTGTGTCCAGATACTTTCTTTAGAGTAGTGTATATTAGATTAAAATTGTAACATTTAATATATTTTACAACTTTTTATTATTATAAAAAAAAATTTAGAAATATAATTATAATAGTTTTATTAAGAAAGAATGATTATTTATTTAATATAAATATGAAAATCATTAAAATAATTTGGTCTAGATTTATTATAATATATGCTATACTATAGCTAAAATATCAAATTTAAAATTGAGGTGAATTTGTTAAAACAAAGAATTATTTTTTCTAAAAAGATATTAACATCATATTTTTTTTATCACTATATTCAGGATAATGATTATTACTAATAAATCTACATGCTAGTAATTCAAATTTTGAAGAAATCTGAACTTTTTTTATTATCTTTTATTTCATTTTCTTCGTCATTATAAAATTTTTTTCAATAAAATATCTAAAGTATCTTCAATTAGATTTTGAATTAATAATAATTTAAATACTTTATGATTATTTGTAATATTTGATTTTTTGCAGATCAAATATGAATTAATGATTGCAATATCTACAGTATAATTAAAATAATAAAAGAACTTATATTCTAAAAAATAACTAATTATGTAAAATAATAACTTCTTAATTGATTTACAATATCTACTCCTCTCATTTTATAATTATAATTATGAAATAGATGGAATTTTTTGAACATTATTTTTAAAACAGATTTGATTTTATTATTATTGATACTTATTTCACATAATTTTACATTCTTTTTTAATTCTAGAATTTTCTTCATCAATTATATGTATTATTGTTAACATTATTATTAGTCTATTATCAATTTATAATAAAGTTAACACATTTTTATTATCATATCATTTAAATGATCCTATTCAAAATTTTTTTCCTTTTCTTTTTTTAAAATTAAAGAAAAATTTGTAGTATTTGTTACACTTGAGAAGTAATTATCCAGTAGGGCAATTTTGGGAGTCCTGGAGTCAAAAAAAAAGGCATCCAAAAAGTTCTCAATCATAGGCCCAAAGCTCTTCTAGCATTACGAATCTATAATATAGAATTCAGGTCTAAAATTTGCAACGGCGCTCAATTTCGTTATCAATCTCCTTGCTATAAAATTTGAGCT